ATAATCTGTGTAGTACTAGAATTTGGTAAGTCTTGTGGAGGAAATAAACAAAGAAGAGGTGTTGTCATAGTACGCCATTTCTAGTGACTAGTTTGACGTTTTTTGCTCCGTTTCTCGTTTGCTCGTTTGACAGGACTCGTCATTAATGATCATTCTTTGACTTTTTCACTTTTATACTTTTTAAACGAGTTTTTTTGTGGACGATGGGGTAGCAGGGCTTTTTTATGAGCAGTTTTGGTGGAGAATTAAACAACTTTTTCATAGTTCGGCTTTTAAAGAGGGTTGTTTCATGGACTTCGGCCTTCGGCAGAGAGGGAGGGGGGGGGTCGTATTTCCGAATTTTCCTCGACGCCTCGCTTGACCCTGGCGTAGCTTGGCTAATAACGTGTGGACAAAGTGGCGCTAGAGAAGGTGCACTGGTTGCTGAGCAGTACTTGAATATCCCTCCTCCCCACAAGGGTTCCAAAAACAAGTATAGTCGGTGACGAGCCGTGTTACCAGAAGCGGGTCACCTGGAGCAACCCAACTAGAGCATGGCACCTAACGCATTGCGGTCTCGTCCATACATCCACTGTCTCAGCCGCTGTCCCTCCGCGAGGTAAGCTGTTTTCACAAAGAGGTCCCGTATTCCGCTTTCTTGACGAAATCTGCTCTTTTCGCCATTGACGTAACCATTGAGCACCCCTACGTCCCCTCCAAACCCCTCCAGAACCTAACGCTATCGCTGCCTTTAATCAATTTCACTTCTTTTCAAGAAAAATGGACAACATTAATGGGATATGCCAATCTAGGACATGGATGGTAGGAGGTACCAGACAAAGAACTTAGAGAATATCTATATGAACGGTTTGATTAATCATGAGAGGTCTGAACTTTCTAATTTACTTGAATCTACAAAGAAATGGTGCTGTACGCTTCAACTCACCTATACGATGATGCACTTCGCCATCCTCGTTTCTTTGATTTATCCGTATATGCGCAAGGCCACGCTCAACCCATGCTTTCTTCTCTTTATCAAACGAGTGCAACTTGCAAGCAGTCTAAAAAGAAACGAAGTGAAAAAAGAACATGGCCCATAAGGAAATAAAAGCGTTATCAGTCGCTGTTCACGACCTTATAAAATGAGTGTTAGTAACAAATCGTGCAATTTCAGAAGACAAATTTTTTGGAAGGTTTACTACTGATAGCTGCTTTGAATTCATTAGAGGAAACAGATAGAGTAAAGGGACCAGCGGGGTATTTGCAAATGGAAAATTCCACAAAAAATTGTACTTGTAAAGAATACATGCCAGCGTAGTGAGTGAAAATGATGCCTTTGCTTTTCGCAAAAAAAAAACGAATAGAACTTCTGACCTGAAATATATTGACGTCGTTTTCTTCACCCGTTGTGACTGTGACTATGCTCGTGCTTGGCTTCTCGTGTTCCTTCTTCTTCTCCGCGGCCTCCTTAGCTTCAGCTATGAAATCGTGTTGTTCCTGCTGAAGAAAGTACACAGTATATCGGTCATACCGGCAATACGGAGATATACAACGGCACTGCGGAGATCACTAAAGAACATACCGGTTTATCCTGTTGAGCGGCACTCTTGAACAACTCCAGACCGAAGCTCTTTCGCTGCTGTTTGTGGGGCGCGGACACAATGCATGGGTTTGAGGATCGTGCTCTTCTTGGGGTGCGGCGCCTTGCGTGGGTGGGTGGGGGGTGTGGGGGTGGGGGGGCGGGGGGGGGGGGGGGGGGGGGGGGGGGGGGGGGGGGGGGGGGGGGGGGGGGGGGGGGGGGGGGGGGGGGGGGGGGGGGGGGGGGGGGGGGGGGGGGGGGGGGGGGGGGCCGGCCCCCCCCCCCCCCCTTTTTTTTTTTTTTTTTTATTTTTTTTTATTTGTTTTATTTTTTTTGGTTTGGGCGGGTGTCGGAGCGGGGCGGGGCGTACGGGGCGCCGGCCTCCGGGCGTGGTTGGGGGGGGGGGCGCAGTTCCTCTTTCGCTGCACTTTTTCAGCAGCGACAGTAACCGAATTTGAAAGCAGGCCGCCAGTCTTTTTTCTTTTCCTTCCCTCATTGGAACTTTAATAACCTTGTAAACAATATCCAGACAATTATAGAAGTTTTCTGTACATTTCCGATAAATACCTTTACAAACAGTTTCAACGATCCGAGATTTTGGACGCCAAGACAAGAGAGTTGCCCTTCTGCTTCTTGCTCTCTTTCCTTTGGTCGCAATTCTTTTCCGCACATCTTCCAAAAGATAACTCATCTCAGCGATTCTTCTGTCTTCCAAATGAACGGTTTGTAAGACAGGTGTGATACCGAATCGCTGAATCCAGATTTGGCCTGATAACGATGGACAATGGTGCTAACATGTTATAGTTGGGGGGGGGGGCCACGCGGCGGCGCGGCAGTCTGCTCGCCTGGCATGTTCGGAAATCCGTGGGCCAGGGGGAGTGTAGCCAATTCAGGGGGGTTGGGGGTGAGGGCAGTCACATGACATGCGTGAGAAGCTGGAATGTTCGAGTTTACAATGTCTTGTTCGAGAGAGCCCAGGTGAGCAGACCGCCGCGCCGCCGCGTGGCCCCCCCCACCTAAGCTAAGTTAGCACCGGGGAACGAATTTTCCATCACATGGGGTCATGATAAACGGAATTCATAGTAAAAAACTTCTGAAATTGCAACTCTTCGATCAACACCCTAGTCTGAAAAAAAGAAAAGAAAATCCGAATCAACCCAACTTTACTTACTCACAACGAAATATAAACTCATTCAATTAAACGCATTTCGTGGAGAACACACTCTAAGGGCAATCAATGAGCAACGCCGAAAACAGGACAATGGAGGTTTCACTGTTTCCCAAATTACGAGTAGTTACAGTGAGGATTCGTTTCGCCTCTATTAAGAACCATAGAAAATCTAGGATCTACATTATATCTGGCAGTTCGATAAAGTGGATCTACGGATCTCGATATGGGCCGCCACCGCACTTGATGAAGTCGCGCGATTAAGCTACTTTTCAAACATTACTTCGTTACAATGTCAGCAAACAACGCTGAAGAAGCAGCTTAAATCCGTGCAACTCCCCTTATCAAGTGAGCGACGAGACATTCAATCAATAGACTAAGCTAACAGACCTTCCCTGAGATATGGAACGCGGGAACAGCTCAAGATTAAGATTCCGACCTTTCCCACTTACTTTTGCACCCCATTTAAGAAAACTTCTCTCTCGAGAATTTTTCCAAATGGGATTACGGGCCTAAATAGAGAACAGTCAGAGCACGCTTTCTTGTCAACGCTTCAAGAAACACCGCAGTAAACAAAAAAGGACACTAATATGAAATTCAAGGAATCCAACTTTGACAAACCAGAAAGAAATTAAAACGATTGGAAAAATAACTCACTTTGAGTTCCATATTTGATTTTTCGGCAAATTTTGCCAGCTAACTGAACTGCCGAATGTTGAACATTTTTTAAAAGCTTGGAGTGCTTCAGGCTCATTGTTTGGGTGTTCTGACATACTGCTCCTACTGAACTTCACACGACCACCTACTCTGCAAGTGAATGTTACGTAACCATCCAACCTTTTCCATAGCTAGTGACTCATCCAATAAAATGTAGGTCTTCGAACGAATTCGAGAGTGCATTAGAATTAATGTTGGAAAATATATGAAGTGGGCACACATGGCTTGGGGGGTGGGCGAACCACAAAGAGCAGGATAATTGGAAAAACGTTGGTAAGTGGTATTAGAATAGGATCGTTTTTTTCTCTTCTATCTCGGGGAAGGGCGAAACACCGCAGGCGAAGAATATATATTCTTATTACTAACCATCCTCTACCAATAGATCTGTGTCCCCTCTTTCCCTGAGCTTTGTGGCCTCAGGTCATCTAGTCAGTGAACTTACTTTCACTGTCTCTGTTTCCCTACCGCCCCGTGCCACCACCAAGCCGTTCGCCGCATATTCAAGAGCGGGGGTCGCCACTTTGACATTGAGCGAAGTTGACATGGACTTTGAATGTGGTTAAAAGGATAAAAAGGAATGAAGTGCCTGAAAAGTTATCACGTGCAAACTGGTCAAAGTTGTCGCAGCCGAGAATCGGCGAGCGCAGGCCATTTTGAAGAGCAGAATTGGAGGGTCTACTAAACAAGTCCACAGCAAAAAATGAATGTGTCAAGAATCGACAACACACTCCGTCGATGGAAGGCGTTTTACGAGCTCAACATCGATTTGTTATTAGAAGAGAGGAGTAAGTGTTACTATTTACCATTGGGTGCTATCACAAGAGGGGTGGGAATTGGGAGGGAGTAATCGGAAGCCAAGAACGGCCATTCGAAACCTGCATACAACAAAAATCATGTCTGTTGTTTATAAAGACTCTTGCCGCTCATTTCAAAAAGAGCATAGCCTAAAGAGCGAAGATTTCAAGTGTCCAAGCACTTTTTTTCTCATCTTCGTTGTTCGTGCTCACACCACTTCCTTCGGTATTTAAGGGCGCAGTCTTAGGCGGCGAGTGGCGCCGAGGTGATAGTGCCCCCAAACTGCGGCTGATGAAAGTAATTTTTCACAAACCTACAAGCACATTCGCCGGCCATCTAACCACTCGTCGCGCATCGCCGTGCACCCGCACCACACCAAATCGTGAGGCCCTTCAGAGATTTCGTCCGCTTGCGCCAAAAAAAAAAAAAGCATTTACGCGAAACATGTGAAATTATTGTATCGACTGAAACAAACGGAAAACGCACCACAAGGCGAATCGTGAAGTGGGAGGATCGACGAAAATGAGTATCATACGCATCGACTTACGAACGCTTCGCTCACGCGATTTTCCGCCTGTGCGTTTCTCACAGTCGATACATATCAAACTCTTGACTGAAATTCGCCTGCTCCGGACGTTTCGCTTACGCGTTTCACAATTTCTCAGTCGATGCGTATCTAAATCTTGGCGGAGATTTTCGCCTGTGCGTTTTTTCGCGCCGGCGGACATCTCTGAACAGGGCCTAAAAATTGCCGAATGATGATGTTCCGGTTCATATATTAGCAACAGCTTCCAGGGCAATACATATCCCTCATATTGCCAGGGTACCTTCCATAAGTACAGCACCTTCAAATACTCACGGCAGAGGAAGCTTGCGTTTTGGATTTGGTCCCAAAACTTAATTAGAGACCTATGGTAAGTGCTTTCAAATTCATCTAAATGAAAGCTGATGGTTACTACTCGAAGAAAAGCCTCGAGAAATGCTCTTGGAACCAAAACTGGTCTTATCCTGTAAGAGGGGGCTTACGGTGCACTGCCTGCTCTAATGCCAATTTGGCTCAAAGAGTCCTTTAGAGTCACGAGCTCCTCTACCAGACTATTTTTCCTATGTCGTTTTCTTCAGGTGTTTTTCGTTAATGTCATGTGTCTTCGAACGGGCAAGTGCAGTAGTGCAAGTGGCACGCTTACCACGCGAGCGGTCCGGGGATCAAATCCTGGGTCGTGAGTCGCCCCGGGCCAACCAAGCCTTCCATCCCTCCGGGGTCGGTTAATTGGTACCAGACTTGTCTGGGAGGATAAAAACACTGACTTGTACATCGGCTGGCCCCCGCAAGTCATTGTATAGGCCACATCGCATTCAAACGCCACTACGAATGTACAAATGGAAGTAGAATGCGTGCCGCATCCCAAAAAGGGATTGATCAACGGCAAATGCTTTATCCTTATCCTTATTTTTCGCCGTTGTGCTTGATGACCATTTAAACGTTACGAAAAAATGATATTCAACGCTAGCCAGCAAGAATCAGGAGGACACAAAAAGCTTAGGGGGGTGGGAAGGAAGTCCGCTGGAAACCAAAAATGCTCCCCGTGGACCCTCAAGGGACCTGCTCCTCCCTTCTTCAAGCTTTAGTCCTACACGTTTGTCAAAATAAAAAGAAATTTTCCGTTAGTTCAAATGCCTCTAATTGCTCATACCAGCCCCTCACCCGAATAAGACCACCACTAATACAATCTAGACAAAACAGCACCACCAAACCAAACCTGCTCTCAAAAAAACCAACCCGCAAAGATCCCACAACCATCCCCTTTAAAAAGGATGACAGGCCACGACTACAGCAACAATGTCAAGATGGCTCCTAACCATTAGAAAGGATAGAAGCATGAAACATAGCAAAAACGCGATAAAACAAAAAACAACTCCCCTGCCGTTCCGACACAATAATGGAGAAGCCCGCAAATCTCGTTACAAATAGGACGTAGTGCACCTTCCTCACAACACCGTAATCCGACGCCTAATTTTATTCCACGCGTTTCGGTTAGTCACGGCAATATTGATCACTTCATGGCAAATTGTGGTCTTTTGAAAATCGTTTTCTAGTGTTCGAGAAGATTCTCCGGCTAACTTAAGTTGGGGGGGGGGGGCACGCGGCGGCGCGGCAGTCTGCTCGCCTGGCATGTTCGGAAATCCGTGGGCCAGGGGGGAGTGTAGGCAGTCTAGGGGGGTGGGGGGGGGGGCAGTCACTTGACATGCGTGAAAAGCTGGAATGTTCGAGTTTACACTGTCTCGCTCGAGAGAGCCCAGGTGAGCAGACTGCCGCGCCGCCGCGTGCCCCCCCCCAACTAAGTTAGCACCAGGGTGAATATCGGTCGAGGAAATCCTCGACAGGGGGGTCGTACCTGTCGGGCTGGTCCATGGGGGGTCGTACTCTTGGGGGTCAGTAACATCAGTGGTATCGTGGTGCAGATAGGTAAGAGGGTATAGCGCAGCAGAAAATGAACGACATCTTCTCTATAGCGGAGCAACATAATATAAACTATTCTTCTGCAGTTTCAGTCGCTCCACAATCTCCGGACATTCCTTTATCTCTACGGCCCGCTCCATCGCCCTTAAGCTCGCTGAGAATGAAACTGTTGTTAGGGACGCTGTCGCAAAAACGACAACCGTGAACGAAAGCCCTGGGCAAATGAAGCTGTTTTTTTAAGGCTATAGGAGTGACGAAATGGATTTGCTACAATACAGCTTCTGTCTATATACTGGTGGTGATCATATAACTCCATCGAATCGATCTGCAACTCAGAGTGAAGGTTGGCTTGCATGCCTATACCAACACATAATCGGATGATGACGATTGCCCCTTTATTGTTTGCGTTGAAAGATTTTTGTTCTAGACACATTCCGAGTGTTGCCAACGAATCACACTTGCAATGGTGAAGGAGGGAGCGGATTTCCAGGTGGCCGGATCCGTCCTCGATAGATCCTCGACGCAATTATCTCTTCAACCAAAAAGCTGTAGAAGAAAACTAAACAGACCATCAAGAAGCGCAAACCTTCCGCTTTCCAAAACTATCTTCCCTTTTTCAGGATCTTACAATATAAGAGATATATGCTCTTGAAGTGGCAAAAACTCGCGTGAAAAATTCCGGCCGTCCCTCGACATTTGACTCGACAAACTTTGAAGACCCTATCTTTCTGCAAGGAAAGCTTTAGAGCAACTCGTTCATAATACTTGTTGTAAGCTGCGAATCCAGCTCTACTAATCCCACCCTGTTGACTCTCCTTCAAGGGTGTGAAAAGCCAGGAATCAAACCTTCACACTCATGCGAAGGTATAATTCGTTACGTTTTTTTTTCAGTGAACACATTTCTTCTGCAAATACTGACCATCACTGACTGACCGGCGCGCAGCTAGCCGCAGCTGCTGTTAAATCGACTGTTGATTGATACATATCTCGGCTGTTTTGATATACTCAAGCGGGAATTGAGATTAAATCGCAAGCCCGTGCCTCTAGGATTTCTGTGCATTCCTAAACGGACCTGCCTTTGAAATCACACCACAAAGTTAATGCCTCTTTTCTCTGTATTTCAGCAAATACACAAAAGTGTGCAGTCGCATGAAACGCATCGTGCAATACGATGACCACGACACTGAGGCGGTTTATATTAAACCATTTTATTTTTAAAACCACTAAACACTTTTTGTAATTGTGATTTAATTAATTGAATTAATTGTTTACGCTATGTTTCAGGGGGAGTCGTGCCAGAACCGCGATTTCAGGGGGGGTCGTACTTTTGTGACGACGTCCTCAACACACGAATTTTCAACTGCTGGTTAGCAACCTGATGTCTCTCCAACATACCAGTGGTATCCATCACTAGGTTGAAAACCAAGTACAAAACCTCTGCGCGCAAACACACAAGAGAGCTCCTTCACATTCCCGAGTGAACCATTGTGTTTATGCGAGTCACCCGACTAAGAACTCCCTACCCTGAAAAACGCTCGCACATGGTGACTTCCACCAGACACTTCGGGCAGAGGACGCCAAACCCGTACGAATTCCAAAAAAAAAATCGCAGCTTTTCGTAGTGTAAATAGCCGCGAAAGCAGGTGATGTACATCGACTGCGATGCTTCCAATTTTTCGTTGAATGTCGAGCAACTTCTCACAAAAGGAAATGTTGTTTGCCATCTCATCAGAAACACAGTGCCAATCTCATCGAAGCAAATACCTAGATCAGAGGTATGATTACTTTTTAGGTGACAAGGAGAGATGAAATAAACTTCAGTAATAAAAAACGGGTAGAAACCGTCGACATGGACCAAAATGAGGCTATTTTTCTAGTAGCGAAGGAGCGAAAAGCGTTGGCCTTCTGTGGTGGGGGCTCAGTGGTTAGCGAAAGCCATGGTATTGGGCGGCCAATGTTTTGGTGCTGGCCAATGCTGGATCCTCCTAGGCTTCAGTCACTTGGGCCATTGTCAAATCATCTCTTGGCTTAGCTATTGTTAGATCACCGCCCCCCCCCCCCAACTTCCCAATATGTTAAGCATTGTGACAACGTGGCCGTTTACATTCAGGCCTGCGATGAGCGATTATTTCCTAAGTCCGCTCGTATATTTTCACCCACTTAAACTGCTACCACTGAGCGTCCATGAGCCACCCACTGAGGCGACATCAAACAAAATACTTATCCTGAAACAGCAAAATTTTTTATTTTCAGTTGAACCATTTAACACATGTAGGCCAGAAGATTTAGCCATCGGTTAACGGTTTTTTACATTCACAGCAAAAGTTAATCTGATCTGCATGATTTCGTTTCAATCTTACACCCGATATTGGTCATGTTAGCCTGAATTCAATGTATTTTCCCTCCAGAAGAATTTCAGCCACTGTTCGAAATGTGAACAGGTCAATATCTGAAAAACGGATTTTGGGGTACGGATCAGTTTTTGGGCAGAATCCTGTTATTTGGGACGTGTTTCCACAACGAGTAATAATGGCTAATATTAGCCCTGAATCAATGCAAGGATCTTACTTGTATCATCAGACGGTACATGAATTGGGTACGCAGTGTAAAGGTAAAGTTGCATGTGCATCGGAAATGTAGCTAGCCCAGTACGAACGGGGCCCGCGCGACAAAGGTAGAGTGTAGTGTGCTTTGTGGCAAAGTAACCTCTATTTCGGAAAACGAGAAGAGCGTCGAGTGCAGACCACACACCACAAGTGACGACGGCCAAAAAAAGTGAATTTCTTTTCTTTTTCTTGGCCGTCGTCACTTGTGGTGTGTGTCTGCACTCGGCGCTCTTCTCCTTTACCGAAACAGAGGGTATGTGCTAGCATCAAGATAGCCAGCTCCCAAATCCGCCCTCCAACTCGTTCCGTCTTCCAGTGAGAGCTTGGGTCTGGTACCACTACAATTATTATTCCATTTCCAAAATGTATACAAATGATTCTACACAGCCGTATCTTACAATCTTATCGAGTCAACTTCCATCAGGTTATCTTCGTCCAGATGTCCATGTCCAATCCGTAAACTCGTCCAGAGTCAGCGGACTACACATACGAAGATAATGAGGGGAAATCAGAAGGGATCGCTCTAGAGCTTTTGATGGTTGCTAGCAATTCTCTTTTCCCTGGCGCGCCATGGTGCCCCTCAAACTCATCGCTGACCAACATCACAGGCTATACAGGATGGGCGAAGGGTCACGGAAACCGCGAGCACTCACGAAACTTCTTCATGTTCGTTTTTCATGTTTCTTACTAGCTTACCAATTTTTTCTTTGCAGTGCTGCAGTGATGTTATAAAACACTTTGATGAAGTGAACTGCTTCAGTATTGTAGTAAAGCCATCTTTTTGTCTTGAAACTTTCACCGAGTTGGCCCGAAAAGGCGTTTCAGCACGCTTGTAGGAGTCGGCCACTTACCGTATTCAGTGGAGAAAATTCAGAAATATGATCCGTGCACTGTTTGAACGCCTTCTCGAACGCAGCCTTCACCTAAAATACAATTGACTGGCAACCATCTAGGTACCTTCTATCCTTGATATGCACTACATTCCTTCAATCTAATCTATTCAAGGAATAAACAATAGACACAGATGAATGTATATATGTATGAACGACAGAAAACTACCTTTTTTGCGGCTGTGTAAGGACGCCCGGTAACATTGAGCACATTTACTATGACAACCCCTAGAATCAATTTTTTAATGCCCTATCTTGTGGTTTTTCGTTATTTCAAAATTCAAAGCCGATTGTTTTTTGAAGGAAGCGTTAGTCTATAGGCATCTGTAGAACGAGAAGTGTTTTCCAGCAACAAAATACTATTTTAATTCAATTCAAAAAGTTTTCTGAACTGAAGTTTCCTACAGCTAAGGTGACGAGCAGCGTGACTGTTTCGAAGTGCAATAGAACGAACATCAAGTCTGTGGTTTTCCTGAGTTTTCGAACTCAAGGGTACATTTCGCAGCCATATAAGTGTGAGCATAGGCTGGAAAATGAACGCGAGAATCCTCGAAATCCGCTGATGGTATATGCCTCCCCCTTCCTCCTTATCGCCCATGACTTTCGATATGACAAAATGTGGGATGGGATGGGACTCGTATAGGGCGGAATGCAAACCTTGAACAAATTACCAGCGAGCTGCGCTGTTTTCAGGGTTCTTAGCAAATTTTTTGCTCTTCCATTGCTTCTCGACCCACAACTAAATACATTTTTTTCATATTTGGTCGCTCTAAGGTACTTTTTCAAAACGCAGTAAAGAGGAGCGTCTTTCTTTCCACATGAGCTCCTACGTAACGGGAAGGGTTTTAGGTCGGGTATGCCAGATCAAATTCAATAGTTTCTGCCACAGGCAGAAGAGGGACTTTTAAGAGCCTACACGAAGCACCTTTGCTGGTGATTAACTTAGACAAAATATCCAAGTTCTCTTCTTTGTAGAACACATCCACAGGGCAGTTCGTTGCAACGTTGTCCTTCAAAGTGCACGCGTCAATATGTATCACATTGTAGCGAAGTCCTGAAAAACCTTCATGAGTCGAAAAACCTCCATGAGTTGTAACTATCTGAAAGTGATGGGTCGGCTAAAATACTTTGGGTAGTTAAGGTCGGCTTCCCACGTTCTTCTGCAGACGAACAACTTACAATTAAGTGGCTATGCCCCACAAAATTCACGCTGGGAATTTTTCTACACCGCCTATGTTCGCACAAAAGGCAAATTTTAGATAAATTGATTGGAAATGATGGCAGAGATGAAGAATCAAGGCAAACAGCCTAAAATCCGTTTATGGGGCTGTCATCCTCCCCCTTGGTCTTCGCTGTTGGAGCGAGTCTCAACGGCCTGTCGTCATCACCGTTAGACCGCCGTCACACTTGGCGACGGACAAGCGATGGAGCGATCGCGATCGCTCCATCGCTTGTCCGTCGCCGAGTGTGACGGCGGTCTTAACGCTCTGCTCCTCTCTGCTGAAGCGGCTAGAGTACACGACTAGAGTCGACAGCGAGGGAATAGCCGATCGGTGGGCGTGTGAGGCCACCGCGGGCGCTCCCTTAGCTGCGCAACGGGCATTTTCCTGTGTCCTCAGGGGGCTGCCTCTCATCCTAGTAGGCATAATGTCTTCTTTCAGTTTATCGTGGAACCTTTTTTAAAGACAAGCCCCGGGAAAATTGGTGTGTAGTGAATGTTCGTGTTGAGAGTGATTCAAAAGAAAAAAAAAGGAAGCCAAAGAAACCACCGGTTACGCCCAAACACACCTCTCTTTTAGCAGCACTTTACCTCGGGATGGGGATATCCTTAAGCGTTATCAGTCGCTAGGTCAAAAACCTCGTTGCATTTACCGCAGCCATTATCGTTGATCCTTACAGCAACAGCGTTGGGCGGGAAAGGTTGCAATGATTTCAAGTCCGTAACCATTAGCGCCCTAACCGCGCATTTTGTGCGACGAGGGTGGGACGACTTCTGCAGGTACAACATTTCACTTTCGGCATGGTTTCTTCTAGTGAGCTTAATTCCGAGGCTTGCCTTGAACTAAGATCCTGCTATTCAGTTTTGAGCGCCGAGAAGCCTGCTCAGGATGAAATTAGGCGTTTCTTCGATTGTACCATTATAAATATTGTAGAAAAACAGCTTCTCCAGCGGCAAAATCAGCAGAAAGCAATCAAAAGTCAATTCGCCTTATACGCAAGAGCATTCTTTCAGGATGACGTATTGATAGATGGCTCTCTATGACAGAGACGAATTACGAAGCTATGCTCGTCCGTCTGAACCAGGGAGGTCTAGAATGGTGCCGGAAGACATAAAATTTTCGAAAACT